GTGTTTTGCTGTGCTGAGACATGCTCCCAGGCTGGTGTCTGTCTTTGGGCTGATCTAAGAGTTTGCTGCCACCAGGAGAGAGATTTGTCCTCCATTGTCCTGCTTCTGCTCCTAGGTAAGCACTTGCACTCCTCCTCGCTCTCTGGCTTTGGTACTCCCAGACCTTTTGCTGAGTCGATTCAACATACTAATCCAGGAGATGGAGCTGGCCTCTCTTTTCTTCCTACTGCGTTAGTTTGCTGTTGACTATTAAGTTATAGCAGCACACCACATAGTGCAAGGGGCATCAGGGCTGACACAAAATCAGTAGACCAAGTGGTGAAGGGGGTGAAGATAGGATTTGGACGTGGTACCTTCTCCATTTTCTGTGGTTTCACCTTCATTGGGTTAGGCTACATTGAATGGCCCAAGTGAAGTAAGTGATACTGAACTGAACAATGAACCACGTGCAGTGAAGGCAGATCCTTGCTGTTTAGATGCCGTATTACTAAAGGACTTGCTTTTGTTGACAGACGTGTCATACATAATAAAAACAGTTCATGGACGACCTAGTAGCACATATGGAGCAATTTTTCAGCACTTGCTGATCAGAGGGTAAGGAAAGAAAAGAGCTTCTGTTTGTGGGCTGCTTTCTTAAACGTTTACATTAGACAGCTTTATACAGATTAGCGTAAACTATTCTAAGCGCTTTTTAATCTTCCCTAATGAAACTGGTAATGTAATTATAAAAATATTGATACTTTTTATACTTTTCCACAAATAATACACCAAAAGGGAAGCATTCATGAAATGACTTATCAGCCCCAATGTGCCTCTTTTTTTTTTCCAATGGAAAAGAATTTTTGGAGAAATGAGTTCACCCTCCTTTAGTAGGGTGCTGCTTTCCAAAACCAGCTGTTACCATTTCGGTTGCTAGCCCATGCTGAAGATGGTCTGGTCTTTCAGACTATATCACTCTTTGCTGGAGGGCTTTTTTGACTGTGTAGTAATAAAAAGGGAAGAGAAATCTGAGAAGCATCACCTGTTCAGATGCTCTGCGTGAGAACTCTGCTCTCCAAATCTGTCCTCAAAGTCTTCTTTCATTTCCATAATCTGTGTTCGTTCTGCCACATGCCTGGTGAGAAATGCATCACACAACAATAATCCTGCTAATCCACAGGTATAAAGTGTTGCCTCCGCATAGTGGCGTTTTAAGCGGCTTCTTAACCAAGGAAGTACCTATAGCAAACAGGAACCTGGGTAAAAGGGTAAGCATATTCAATTAGAAGCGAAGGAAGAACTCTTCCCTTCTTACCCAGTGTCTTTCCGTCTCTCATGGTCACTTTTCTGAAGTAATAACTTACGTATGGCCATATCAGCAGTACTTAGAGGATAGGTTTGGAGTCAGGCGTTCTAGATTCTGCTGGCATTTCTGTGGTCTTGAGCCATGTTACGTTATTCAATTGTCTATTTCTTTTACTTGTGTTTGAGGAAAAGGATATCCCTTAACAGTGTTGAAAAGCTGGTAAAACCTATAAAAGTCTTTGGAGAAAGCTGCTGAATGAAGTAGTAGTAGATGGTACTGGTCTAATGTCAGTTACGTATAATTGTGGTACAAATACCTTCACGTTTCAAGATTAGCTTAGTAAGGATCCTGTCTCAGTGTACAGTGAAAGACGTTAATAAAAACTGCCATCCTATAATGAACTTAGCAGTGGGGAAAATAGAGGTGGGAGGAAGGGAAAAAGATTAATTTTCGCCTACTGTATCGCATTTGTTAGCCTTCTAGTATACTAGGAAGATTTAGGACCTTCCCTAACTTGATGGTGAAACTTTGAGGTATGAGAGGTAGCTGAACTGAGACTATATTTACCATGATTTGGAGGAGCAGTGCTAATGCTCCTTGAATTCTTGCTTTATGATTACTTGTTTTAGTTAGTTGCTTGCAAATTTGAACATGTAGAAAGGCCTTGGGGGAAAAATAAACATTTTTCTTGAAGTCACTTTTACCAAAGGAAAACTGAAGTCCACTGTGGAAAGATGATAGAGTGAAACAGCAAGAAAATGTATTTGGTAGGTCTGATCTGATATTTTTAAACATATTTAACAGTGTCCATTGTAACGGTTGAGGTATATATTTGGCGAGTATTTCTATGCAGTAGTGAGTTCCTCCTTAAAAGGTAAAACACTGCGGAGTGAATAGTTTTCAAATATTTGTAACATTCACCAATAATCAGTGTATTTTTCTGTTACGCCTCCTAGCAAATTTGAGTTGTAATGCAGTAAGCTGAAAGTGTGCAATAATTGTTCTAAGTAAAATAAAAATTGCAGCAAATAGCTGAGATTCCATGTAAAAAGCGTGGGAGGGGAGAGGAGAGGATGCCGTCTGCTGCAGGAGTCTTCGTTTCACCCGGAGGCCGAGTGTTGCAGGTTGGAGTCAGGGCCGAGTGCAGTGAACAGGTCTATCTAACTCTTGACAGAAAGTGGTAAATCCAGCTCAGTTCTCGGTGGGGTCAAAGGGGGTCATAAGAAGGTCTTTATTATTATTATTAATGGAAACTGGCTTTACTTGATCCTTCATTTGTTCTGATATCATGTTTTAGTATAGAAGGACCACTGCACTGGATGGGGAGAGTTATTGAAATCATGAGACCAAGGTTTTCTGATGATCGCATGTTATGAACGGTACTGTTTTCTGGGGACACTTAGGTATATTTTCCTTTGTCTACTTAAGCATTCAGAAAGACTAATTTAATGCTTTTGTCAAATAATCCCGGGGCTGGGAGGTTAATTACTGAGATAAAAGCTGTGAGAACTTAAAATGATTTTGGAGTCTTTGAGATGACCTTGCATATTACAGCGCTGGCTTGTAGTAGAACGTGAGAATTTTAAACTTGTCTTCAAAGGAATATTTGAGCATTTAAACTCTTAATGCAGTTTATAGAGAATAAGCAAAACCAGTCCTTCTGGTGTCCTCCCTTCAGCCTGCACTGCCAGTTCATGATTGCTATCTCATCCAGAACTCAGCAAACTCTGGAGAAATACAGCTTAGTTGTATAGTGCTGATCTCTGCATTGCAGAGGCAAACAGCTCCGCTTTACTAACGCAGCTGTGAGTTTCTTCTGATGTCAGAAAATGTAGACAGCAGGAAACAGAAATATCTATGTAGTTATAAATTTTGTTTGACTTTTAACCAAATTAATTTAGCTTATATAGATTTCAATAATAAGATCTGTTGGATAGAGTAGATTATTTGTTCGTGGAAGTTCTTGGAACTGTTGGAAAACAGTCTGTCTTATTTGACGCTTTTGTTTCTTCCTTGTTGTGTTGCAGATAATACAGGCTAAACGTAAAAATAATACATAAGAGTCCTAAATGTTTTCTTTTGTTTTTTAATTTGATAAAAGCAAAGTTCTTATCTTTTTTTTTAATAGAAACTGATTATTTAACCCAAAGAAACTTTGCATAATTACCAGTAAATGTATGAAAGGGAAGAATCTTTAGAGTTAGCAGTACCAAATTAGGATTTTGAATACATTTTTAACATACTTATTTAAGAGTACTAGCTCAGATATGGCCTCTTCATCATTGCGCTGTTCATCTTGCTGTGATTGTGACCGTGCTGAGTGGATGACCATTGTAATTTACTTAATCCATCCCCAGACTTTGAGAGTTTGACATACTAGCAATAGGTTACTTTGCTTTCTTAGTTATCACGTGTGGGACTTGGCCTTGAATAGTTTGCAGTGCTGAGCAGAATGTACTTGCCAGCTCTTCTTTAAACGTTGCTTATCTTCATTTATAATGCAGTTATTCTACATCCTTGCTATGTTATCTTTATAGCTTCACAGTCACATCTGGTGTTGAGTAAAATTGTGCTTATGCATGAACAGTTTTTATTGATTTCAGTGGGGGATGAACACGTGTAAAGTTGGGAAGAGTTTGAGCAATTTGCCTGTTGTTGGCAGTTCTTCCTGGCAGTCAGTATATTAGAAAACCAAATACTTTCCCTATTATGTGAATGATGTACCATAAAACAGTATGTGACTACTGGCTTTTCTTTGTAATTAGATCATAATAATAATAATAGCTATAAAAGTTCTAAATAAGACTCATGCTTATTGTATGACATAAGCATAAAAATGTCAAGCATAGGTAAACACATGGAAGATAAAGCCTTTCCTTGACTAGTTCCCAGTTCAAAAGGTCTTCTGACGGTTAAGTGTTCAAGAGAGAACAATTTTTGCGCAGTCCTCATCTAATTCATAACAACGACTGTTTACAAAGTTGATTTTGCGGTTCCTGTGACAGGTGTTAAAGCTGTCTTCCTGTATGGCTGTGATCTGGTTTCCTCAAATAGTTATTTGCTTGCTTGCAAGAGTAGACTGCTGCTTTTTTTGCTAGAAATGTTCGTCTGTAGTGTCTTCTGAATAATGATTAGTGGTCATCCTTGCACATTTCCTCTTTTCCCGCTCTACCTCCCCCTTAGAGCTGCTGATTTGGGGATGGTTGTGATAGAAAGGGAAACTGAGGACGTGACTTCTATAGAAATTGGCTTCTCCGGACCCTTCCAAGCTTTTCCACTTGAAGAGAAGGGAAAGATAATAATTACCTTTGACAGATGGGCATTAGTTTCTCCAGATTTCCTAAATGGTTTTCTCCCACGGAGTTAACAACTTTTTATGGTGAAGAGATTTTAGATGCTTAGTTATATTCTTTTTGTGATTTTTTTTTTCTGTTCTATAACATCTAATATTAATCAAATTGCCCCAAATGGTTCAGACAACTTCAGAGTGTACCTGATGCTTGTTGGAGGTAGGTAAATACCACCCAGCCAAGGGTCTGAGTTAAGATGAAAATACTCATCAGTGGCAGCTTACACCACCAGTGTTTGTGCATCTCTGGCTTTTTACTGTAAGCGTAACCACCTTTCATCTTGCAGGTGTAGAGTCTGAAAGGTTATAGGTATGTTATGAAATGAGAGGAATTCCAAAATGCAAATTTTCATGTTTTCTTCACAGTTTTTGAAGATGTCCGCAGATATACCATTAAATATTAATATTAAGGAGCCCCGATGGGATCAAAGCACTTTCACTGGACGAGCCAGTCACTTCTTTACTGTAACAGACCCCCGGAATATTTTGTTATCTGATGCCCGACTAGAAAACGCAAGAAAAATTGTTCACGATTACAGGTATGGCAGTTGATCGTTGTTAGTGCTGGCCCAAAAAAATCCAGGTTGGTGATAAGTAGGCAGTTATATATTTGAAAGGAAGTATTTCAGACACTGTATTCATTGAACCACTGTTTCTTCTCATTACGTAACTTGAAACACTAGCATATTCTCTAATGAATGGGGAAATGATGTCGTCTGAGAACATCTACTATTACTATAATAATAATATTATACTGTAATAATACTTCTAAGTATTCTGATATGTGGAAGAAGTGTCTGATTCTGAAAATAATTAATATGATAGCGGAGTTGAAAACTCTGACATATTATATTGTTTGGGGCAAGTAGTTTCTTAAATACCTGCAAGGTAAATTTTCAAAGTTTAATGCTAATGTTTTTGCAAAGATCTTAGCTCTACAGTTCTCGTACAGTTTTGAGTAAACAAATGTGGTGTCGCATGTATCAACTCAGGCAACATAACCGCTGCTAGGAGTTTTGATTATTTTATTTCATCAGTCCATTTCTTGTAGCTAAGGATCTACAAGATAACTAAAAGGCTAGGTGAATTTAGCATGAACATCCCAGACTGCTCTGATGCCATGTTGTTCTTTGGAAGTTTAAGCATTTTATAAGAGTTGTGCTTTTTGCTGTTGTCTTGTTTTGTTTTTCAACTTGTCCCAAGACAAGGTATCGTCGCACCGGGCTTGACAGAAGATGAATTGTGGAGAGCAAAATATATCTATGATTCAGCCTTTCATCCAGACACTGGTGAAAAGATGATCTTGATTGGCCGAATGTCAGCTCAGGTACCAATGAACATGACTATCACAGGTTGTATGATGACCTTTTACAGGTAAGTAATAGCAATATAACACATCAAATATTTGCTTACAAATTAGATAAGTGAAAATCAATGTTACTGTCAACAGAACATTTTAGAAGATGTATTATAAATATTTTAGAATAAAAAATGTTGCATCCTTTTCTCTTTTCTCTCTGCGTTCCCTCACACCCGCAGTGATTAGTGGTTTCCTCTAGAAGTAGCTGTGAGATAAGCCTTTGGCCCCTTCTAATCCTTCACCAAATATCCCACTTTTCCTCACTGAGCCGAGAAAGCTGAGTGTCCCCAGATCCCGTCCTTGTAGGAGAGTTGTGTGGAGGACAAAGAGGAGGAGATGCCTGGTAGTTCTAACCTTAGAGATCTGGCATGCAGGATGTTCTGTCTGCCAAGTAAGTACTAAATATGCTTCAGTCCGTCCGTCACTGAGTTTCTCCAGCACCTGTTTGAGACGTCCATTTCATCAAGAGCCCTCATTTCACCAGTACAGTGAAGCCCCTAGCAGAAGCCAATGTCTTTCGTTGGTAGACTGTATGTTAGAAATATTTTTGTGAAATAATGCCTTGTTAGCAAGAACGAGGGGAAGGTTCAGAAGAAATACCAATATCATTTTTGATTGTGGAATTTTTAAAATATCTTGATTCACAGTCCAGAAAGACACAGCAGTTTTGAAAGGCACGTGTGTATACATGTGTTTGTGTGTGCTTAATAAGCACCGTCAAGAATAAAAATAAAGCCATCAGTGCAACTGCCAACAAACATTACTGTATATTAACAGGTTATTCTTATTTTTATGCGTGCTCTGTTATTATCAATAATAGTTATAGAAGGTATATACATTTTCTTTGCATTATTGGTAAAATCACTCAAAACTGGATTGCTCATTAGTTTGGAAGACATTGGTTTCTTTGGATCAAACCCTCAGCAGTGCAAATGGGATTGTGCAGAAGTTCTTGGAGGGTGCAGTGTAGTTTCCATCTTACTGCATGTCAGTGTGTCTTGGTTATTGCTGTTATTGGAAAAAGCAAATTTCTCATTATATGTAGAAGGGCTCTTAGGCATGCAGTAAGGTGATGTGAGTCATGTCTGAACTTTATCATAGCAGGTCTAACATCCTCTACACTGCAGTAGCACAGGAAACAGGGAAAGGTGAGTCAGGAAGAATTGCTCATGCACAAGAAGAAAGGAAGAGTAGTAGTAGTGATGGAGAAAATCCAGCTAGTTTATTACTGTAGCTTTCACATCTCATTCAGACACTGGAAACCAGAAGGAATAAGAAGACACTTTCAAATCTTTTGAATCTTTAATTTTTTGAAATGTCAAGAAATAACGTATCTTCCCATTTCAGAATCAAAGCCTTGTGATAGATACACACCTTCTTATGCTGGCATCTGTTTTTTTGCCTCCCTGGCTGTTACAGAATAATTGGTACAACTACTGCTTTTTTGGAGCACTCGTAATTTCCGCGTCAGCCCTCCAGTGAGAACTGTTATCATTATTGCCTCTATCTTATTAAATAATTTAATTAAGTATAAGTTTTAAAGTCCTATGTAAAATCATTTTAATGGTCAGGATCTAGTCTTCAGTGGCAGCTGTTATTCTGGTGGCCTGGTTCCCCCCACTGAGGGGACAGATTCTAGTGGAGCAGAATCTTCAGTGTTTTCTGTTACTGGGTGCAGAGGTTGTGGTCTTAGTCCATACAGAAACGCCTAATCCCCGGTATGTTTTCCTAGCCTCCAACTGTTTGTGGATCAGGAATTCCCCGATCCAGAGGTACTATGTATTTAATGGCCTTTAATGGATTTCTTTATCATAAATTTGTCCCATTGATCAGATGGGCTACTAGTTTGAGAACAAAAGCATTCATCCCTCTACAAGATTGCACCCTACATTGTTTAAAAAATTGACTCTCATTTTTGTTACTTATCAAGGTAACCGTTTCTGAAATGTTCATATCCACAGTTTAACAGTGACCACATTAGCTTGTCAAACAAGGACTCTGAGAATTGTATATACCGTGCTTTTTTCACTGCCCACCACCCTTGCTCACCAGCTAGTACCTTTTTGTCCTAAGGCCTCTTCGTACTGACAGTGACATAACTTATGAGGACTCCTTGGAGCTTTTATTTTTGATGACTTATCTTTTTGATCCATCATTAATGCTGTACAGTACCAGATTCATTTCTGTGTTGAACCTGTACTTTGTAATCACGCAGAAATTTTTGCCAAAATCATTTTTCAGTTTGGATTAAGTATCTTTTTTCTGTGATTCTACAATGTGAACGGAATATTTGAATGTCACAGGGATTTATTAAAACAGTCGTGTCATTAGCCTTTTGAAGACTGTTTGAGAGAGTAAACCCTGTCTCTTAAAATCCACCTATCAGTCGCTTATGGAGCTTCCGGAGAGAACCACCAGATTATAAATAACCCTGCAAAAGTATCCTACCTGTGTGTTTTTCATAGAGAGAAGTTTGCTATAATGCTTTAGTTGTTACAACAAACCTTTGTCCCAAGTGAACCTTGCTACTTACTTACGATTCTTTTAAAACCTCTTTTTAAGTGTAGCTTGTACTTTCATTACTAAGCCAGTATCTCATTGACTGAATTGTTTTGTTCAGATAAGCAAGAACTTCTGCCTGATTCCTGTTTACACTGACTTTTCTTGATTTGCTGTCATTTTTCTCTTCTGTTGATTCAACTGTGTTTTTAAAAATAATAATAATTGTTCTCATTTTAAGAACGACACCAGCGGTGGTTTTCTGGCAGTGGATTAATCAGTCCTTCAACGCTATAGTAAATTACACGAACAGGAGTGGTGATGCCCCAATTACTGTCAGGTCAGACACTAAACCAGATAGTTCTGATGTTTTTGTAACTAGCTCTCTGATGTATTTGAACAAGGTTGGGCTTTAAAGTTTGAGGTGAGAGATGGATAAGTTTGTTCATCTATGTTTAATACCAACTTGATATGTTTAAAATAGAAGTCTTGAGAATAACAGAGGTGACATCTCCATTTCCCCCTCTAAAGATAAGCCTAAGCACCATGATCGTAAGCCTTTAAACAACAACATAGGATTTAATAGGAATCTGTGTTGCACTGATCAATAAACCATTTGAAACTGTTCTATCAGTTTTCTCTTATACGAGGGTATTTCTGAATTGATATTTTATGTGGACATTCAGGTGTCCTTCTGTGTCACCATCTGCTGCCTGTGTCCTGCAATACAGCACACAGCACTCTGTGTGCGTTATTTGCAAACTGGAGCCTTCAAGAATTGGTCTGCCCACTACTTGTCTCTACTTGAAGGCAAAGAAAGAGATAAAATAGGTGCAGAAAGCTAAAAATCATGAACAGGAGACTGGAATTGTAGTGCTTAACTTGCTATTTTTGAGACTGACTTGCTTGCTGACATCCTGGAGAAAGCAGTGCATTAGAGGATATACAGACACCTGCTAGCTGAGAAGTATGTAAAGTATGCTCTAGGGCAGACTGGGTTGAATTTAGGTGTTTACAGCATAGCTAGGCTGCGTGTATGCGTTTTGGTACAGCTGATGTTAGTAATCATTGTGGATATGGCCTTAGAAATTTAAATTGGTTTCATAAGTTTAAGGAATTAGCAAATTAAATATAGAACTAAGTCCTTCAAGGTGTTTGTTCAGACACATGAAAAAGTACTGAATAGGTAGTAATGCAGGGTAGAACTTGACTGAATATTCAAATGTTTTCTGCATGTTATTTTTACTGGTAATGAGAAAAAAAGTGTTTAACTTAGTGTCCTGTTTGCATAGGGACAGCCTCACTTATGTTGCATCCACATCTTATTGCAGTATCACAGAAAGGTTTATTCTTTAACTTTTGGGATTTTTTTTTTTTAACTACATATATAAAACATGATTATTGGCATAAGCGTAATTGCTGTGCATGTACAGACATTTTTATTTTTGTTTTAGCCAGCTGGGAACTGCCTATGTTTCTGCTACCACAGGTGCTGTTGCAACAGCTTTAGGACTTAATGCACTAACAAAGGTATTGCTGATATTTTTTTCCATTCTTAATTAGACTTTGCTGTTCTATAAAATGTTAATGGCTCACTTCTCCTTCATTGTATCTGTGTCATGTTGTGCATAGGCTCCCAGTACGGAGCTGTAATTGCTTTTGACAGCTCCCTTCTGTAGATCCCAGCTATATTTTCCCCCATATAGACATCCTCAATACATTTTAAATGGCCTGTCGTTGCTGTTTTGTTAACACAAACTATATCCAGCCAAGGTGACCTTTTTGCACTTTCTTTGTTACATGTCAAAGTATCTAATAGCGTTTGAAAGTTAACTGGAGTGGATGTGTAATTACAAAGAGGTGTGCGTGTTATCTGAATATGACCATAAATGGTATAGGTGTGTTTTTAAAAGTGCCATATTACTTCAGCAAACACGAAAGCTGACTCTGGACTGGCTGAAGAAACTTGTCAGGATGTGCCTCTCTTGAACTGATTTCATGTAGAAATTTTGAATTCTTTAAACAAATGCACAGCATGATAAATAAAAAAGGTTCTTTACAAAAAATAACAAAAATCTATTTTGCACCCTTTTGGTTATGCTTTACTGTATTGGGAGTGGTAGAGTATTGACAAGTTATTTGAGGGAGAGACTATTTTAAGAGAATAATTCATGTTATATAATATATTGACTAGATAAATAGCTTCTGTATAGTCCCTTAGATGCAGAGCAGCTAGTATGGACGTCTGCTGGCTGCAGCCTTGCCAGCGGAGACGGTGATGTTAAGGTCCATTTAGTCAGCCCAACAGCAAGACAGGCACACTCAGAAGCTGACACTGCTCTGCAGTGGTGCTGCTAAATTAAGATTGTTTTCGGCAATCTCACGCTAGTGCTCGCTCTGATAGAAGTATATGACTTAAGTCTTGTTTGTTTGTTGTTTTGCTACAGGCCCCACCAGTGAGTTTTCACCAAATTTTAAATTAAAGGAAATACATTTGGTCTATCACTAGTACATGAAGTACATCTTAATGTGACCTTTGGAAAAAATCGTTGTGTTATTCTTTTTCCTTCATTTTTTTTTTCCCTCTCTGCTTTTCACAGCATGTCTCACCTCTTATAGGACGATTTGTTCCTTTTGCTGCTGTTGCCGCTGCTAATTGCATTAATATTCCACTAATGAGACAAAGGTAGGACAAAGAATGAAGATCCCTCTTTCTAGAAGAAATTATGTTATCAAGTTTTTAGATCAGCAAGTCACTAAATAAAGCACATTTATATCGTTAGCTTGTTTCAGACCTTAGAAAAACCTCATGCAGTCTTGTTTTGATTGATTGTGACACATATAAAATAGAACATCTTCATTCTCTTCAGATAAATATCCATTTAGTTCTTCAGTCTTGGATCTTAGAAATCAAGTGCCTGTCCTTCAAGACTTGATCACATGGACTCTTCAAATAGAGGCTCCTCTTTGGAAAAATATAGTCATTTAAAAAATGGTGCTTTAAATCCCACATACAGAAGTTAGTCCTAGAAGTCAGGCTGCGCAGTTCTATTTAATTATCTGTGATTACAAAAATATGCCCTTTCACAGAAACAAAATTTCACATGTAATCTGATTTGACCAGAACTAAAAATAGAAGTGGGAAAAAACAAATGCAAAGTATCCTCTTATGAAGTTGTGAGGGGAAAAGGGAATATTTAAAGTTTAAATTCACTATAAAGTTCAACCCATTGTAGTATTTTATGTCTTATAAAAAGCGAGGAGAAGAATTAGTGCAGTCCTCAGTATATCTGTCCTTCAGTCTGCTTCTTGCTCTCCTAGAAGTTCTCCCCCGTATGGGTTTAACACCTATTCCTGCACTTGAGCAAAATGTCTCATAGAGAATAATACAGTTATAGAAAGACAGTTTCTTTCCTGCCTGCTTGTTTGCTTTCAAATATGTTGTTACTGGTTAAAGTGAGAACTGTAAGACTAGAATGACAGGGAGGGGATTTTCACAAAGACTTACTTTTTAGTTCAGTGAAACTAATCTTCCTGTATTCGCTATGTTGTCTGTGGGAAAAAACAGTCAACTTTGAGAGCAGTCCAGAAAATTCAACTTTTGTGAGTTGCTTTTTGAAGGAACCTGTCCCTTCTGTGGACTGCAGAGATAACAGATCTTCTCTCCTCCCCTTTGGAGCACGTGTGAGCAGGTTCAGATGGTAGATTGCTGTTACAGATATTCAATTGTTCGCTTTTTAGTGTATTTTTCCACAACTTTTTCTCTGCCTTTTGAAATCTTTTGTGCCAAAGAGTGGGTTTAAAAACAGGCTAACTTGGAAAATAAACCTCCACCTCTTGTCAATATCTTGGACATAATTCTTATCACTGGCAAAATTTAAAGAGGAGAAAGATAAGCTGACAGAAACTGGGTAAATGCATGACAGTCACAGTTTTATATCTTTCCACAGGGAACTCAAGTTTGGAATCCCTGTCACAGATGAGAACGGAAACAGACTGGGTGAATCAACAAAAGCAGCTCAGCAGGCAATTACTCAGGTGGTTATATCAAGGATTCTTATGGCTGCTCCTGGCATGGGTAAGGATAACTTCAGTCAATGCAGGTCCTGATTACCAGTTCCTGCAGTGTGGAGAACTTAAATTCTATATGACTGGTTTTCTCAGAGACCAAATTATCTTATAGTTAGGCAGGTAGTATTTACACGTCTGTTAAGAAGTTCCACAGGGAAGCGTACACCACTTCTTACTGTGAAGACATCCATAGTGTGATATACTTACGCGTGACAGAAGAGCTCTTGGGATGCTTTTGCAGAAGAGCTATAGCTAGCAAAGGGATAGCAGCAAATTCTACTTGAGTGGAATTGATTTAGTGAAGAGTGGATGCTTTGACCAGTGCCAAGTTATTGAGCTCACGCTTAGTTTGGTGTAAAGTTAGAAGCTCCACTTACAGGGAGAGTCTGCCTTTGTAAAATACCAATCTAGTATCTTGAATTGGCAGGATGAAATGGAAGCTCATGATAAGTGGCTGTTACAACTGTCTTATTACAGTACATTAGTCCATCTTAACAGAAAACTAAAAAAAAAAATGCCTCTTTCTTCAAGGATCATGTTTTTTTTCTCATTTGCAGCAATTCCTCCCTTTATAATGAATACATTGGAAAAGAGAGCCTTTTTAAAGGTTAGTCTTGGTTGATAATCAATATACTTATATTCACATCCTAAGTTAATATTTTCATGTTATATTTAAAATACTATTTGAGTCTTCATATTTTCCTACCAAATATTCTAGTTAGAAAAAGAATTTGTGTGCTACTGAAAACCAATTATTTTTCCTCCTGGTAGGATAAGCTTTGAGTTTTAATGTTCCAAAAGAAACATCTGAAATAGTTGTAACTGACAATTAATTCTATTAAAGTATTTTAATGGGTGGGTAGAGTGTACTAAGTACTAAAGTATTGAACTAAAATTTAAAGGCCGCCAACTCTGACCAGGGATTAACCATTGAGACCAAATATGGCAGAACCTGAGTAGTTCCTTCAAAAAATCAAATCTTCTCAACTGAAATCAGGTACAAACAAGCTGAGGGAGCTATGCCTCTGATTCAGGAAAGCAATTACACATAACCTGAATTTAAGTCACAGATGCAGCCCAGTTTACGTGAAGGGGTAACAAATGCAGGTACTTGCCTGAATCAAGGCCTTAACGTTTTAAAAAAGTTTTGCAGAGCTACATGAGCTCTAACCCTTTGAAACTGCCTGTTCATTTTCCCTACTGCACCATTCCCTGTACACAAGATTTTGCCAGCTGAACTTGGTAAAATGCTTTCATATGTCTACTCAAATGTGATCTTTCCTTAAACACTCCCTGAGCTTCCCAAACATTGCCTAAGATGCTGTGCAAAGGGTAAGTGGAACACTCACCATGAAAATGGTCGAGATCTGAGAAAGTTGAACTGTATGAGCAACATGGCTGTAGAGCCTGCTTTGCAGTTCTGTGGTTGCTTTCTCTATGCCTTTCATAGAGAGCGCTGGGCTCTTTTTATTTGTAAAATAAATTGTAAAATAACATTAAGAAAATTTGAACTTTTTTGTTATTTTAGTGATTGTTTCTAAAGTGCACTGTTCCTCGTGGTTAATAAACCTTCCTTTTTCAAGAACTTGGCATATGGTTTTTTATAAATATAGCAAAATTTTTATAATGCTTTTTTTCCTTGATATTAATAAGGAAGCATTGCTTATCTACTGTAATAGCATTTTGAGTTTGGAAATAATGATGATAAAAACCTCTTTTGAAAGTGACCCTTTAAAATTACTGGAAAAGCAAGTACAGGGTCGACATTTGAATGGCATGTTTCAGTCAAGATGAAACATTTCCTATATTCTGTTTATGCTGAAGTAACGTGAAGTCATTTTCAAAAACCTAGCGTTAGTAAGTATATAAACCTAAGTCGACATTATACCCTGTATGTACATGAAATTGTAAAGAACAATAATGAAATTAATTACTAGGTTGTCTAAGTCAAGAGAAGCAGTTTTCACACAAAGGACCAGGGCCATTTAGTAGAAAAGGGAGTTTCATCTTTGTCAGTTGATATCACTGGTTTACTTTCTTGCCTAGCTATGGACAAACTCTCATCTGCCTGTGAAACACATCAGACAAGCTGGAACTAATAGCCCAGGAGGGTCTGTCTCCTTTCTATTGGAAAAAAAGAAAGCGTAATGTGAAAGTTTCCAGACCCTTCTTTGGAAAAGTGGTTGAGGGGATTGCTTAGTTTCGTTTGTTTATTTGCCTAAGATGAAACTTCCTAAAACTAAAACTAAATACTTGAATTATATTTCATATTATTTCTGCTCCTCATATTTCCTGTGCTGAGTTAGATTACCCAGCTACATGCGTCATTTGAAAATGCTCGTCTGTTAGTATATAAACGAGGCACAAGGAAGAGGTCCCAAGTGTCTTCAGGTTTTGAAAACTTTGTTTTCTCGAAGTGCTTTGCTTTTTTTCTCCCCTTTGTTAAGAGAAAACACTGTTTCTCGTGATATAAGAACAGGAAACGCAGCATTTGAGCTTTAGAGTAAAAGCATGTGCATGCTGCTTATATCTCCCAAAAGAAGTGAGCCTGCAATGCATCCAAATACAGTACTTTTCTACAATATAAAAAGCCCTCTACTGATTTGGCTAATTGCTGGTCTTTTGACCCCTACCCTGTTGGTACAGTGACTTTAAGCAGCTTGTGATACTGTTATGTTCTTGAGAATATATTACTGAGAACAGCAATATTTATTTTCCGATATCAAAATATTTGTAAATTTAGAACAAAGGTGATTTTACATGGGTTTGACATGGGAGAAATGTCGCAAATGCTATCAACTCAACTGTCAAATACATGACATTTGTGGAAGGTTTTCTCAGGGTTTGGAGACAATTTTTTTTTTTTTTTGTGCAGTGTAATCAACATAAGGGTATTGTGAATTTTTCAGATCAGCACAAATGAGAGATTTCTTCAGTGACTACTCAGTGGTCTTTGGTACCATCATGACCGTTTATGCTCACCTGTTCCTCCCCCTCAGCCTCAAAGACTGTGAGTTCAGGTGAACCACTGTTCTGCAGGTAGTCAGTGGTAACGCTTGGTATAGATTAGTATTAAAACCATTAAAGAATGAGCTGCGTTTATAACAAGCAGCTTGTGCATGTTCTCTTGAGGTTTCAGAAGCACCATCCCATTTGCAGTACTCTGACACCACCCACACAGTGCTTTACTAACTCACTTCTCTTAGCCTTTGCTTTGCACATCAGCACTCCTGAAAATAGTTTTGCCTGCCAAAGCCCATTAAGCAACACGCTAGAAGGGCATAAAATAGTCAAATGGTTGTTAAATAATGAAGAAAATATAATGATACTCTGCAGTGAGATAGAAACAAATACTTCCAGACCGCACATCTCAGAGATAGCAGGATGTCATCCTCTGACATTTGAAATAAGATGTATGAATAAGCAATATTCATCCCCATGTTCTGACACTGTTCTTGCATGAGGACATTTTGATGGTAACATTAGTGTGAATTGCAATATTCCCTATAGTGATTGTTAGAAAATGGTTCAAGAATATTTTCAGAACACAAACACATACTTGCTGATTTAAAAAGAATCTAATTATTTCTTGCTTTGAAAGCTCTAAATATATACACACGTACGTGTGTGTTTGTGTATACATATATATATATATGCATTTTTTTCCTCTAGATTTCAGCAGCAGCTTTGGCACACATTTTGTATAATTAAGCAGTGTAGTGGTTCTTGATGATGTAACATCTGTATAACGTCTGTATTCATTTCTGTATTGACTTACACTTGACTAGCTATGTGCAGAACCAAGTTATTTTATGTGCTGCAGTGAAAGGAACCATAAACAAAATTATTATGAGGCATAGGGTTTATAAATTTATTTTAGTTACATATAACCTTTCTCCTAAAAAAATATTCTTCCATAGAAACTTCTTAAAATTCTAATTGGCTCTGAAGTTTTAATTTATATTACCACTCTCAGAGTTTCATCTACTGTTTCTCTGCTGTTTTGCATACCATGTTGACATTCAAGTTGATTCCACTAATTTCCTCTTTCATCCTATAAAACAAGCTACTTGGACTCTGTTGAACTGCAGCTAAAACACGTATTCAAAACTGTTACAAAACTAGAACAGAGCACTTTTTTTTAAGCATCGTTCTTGAATCTCTTATGCCTTCGATTCCTCCATGCATTCCTCATTTAACTGTCATTTCATTTATTCATCTTCTTGAAAACAGGCATAGTTTTAGGCTGGGAAAGCTGGCAGACTCTAAGATCTAACAATGAAAGAAAGCATTTAGGAAACCTTTGATTTTCCTTGTGTCTTTTGTTTGCTTAATTATCATTTCTGCTTTTTCTTTATTTGCACTAACTGCTAATGATTCCACAAAGTCATCTGGAAATTAAATCCTAATTCATCTGGAACTGCCTTTTTCCTGGGTTTACACTAGAGTGCTAGAGATCTATTGTCTTCTCTTTATGGGGCTGTACAGTCTGCATTTGAGGCTTGCTTTATTGTTTCAGAATTGTTCCCTGGGCCCTTACAGTTCTTAATATTGACCTTCTAGTATTAGATTTTTTTTTTCCCCCCACCATCTTTTTTAATTAGGGTAGTCTGGTAACGTTCCTGAAAAATAAAGTAACTGTATCTTCAGATCAGGCACCCTGGCAAAAAACGTTCCACCAAATGAAAAAGGCATTACTTAGGTTTTCTGTACTGCTAGACACTTCAGTCTTTCAGTTTAATGACCAACTCAGATAAAGGTTTGAAACCACTATCTCATAATAATACTATCATGATACCCTCAAACACTCCTTTTAGTTATAAAATCATAATTCAGACTTTTCTGTTAAATATCTCAGCTCACGCTGCAATGCTTAGCATTCCTCTCCCTTAGTTCTTCCCTCAAATTGGGGTCTGTCAATGGAATTTGACTTGTTTTCTCAAATACACATAATAGCTGCCAGTCCCACCATAGTCCTATGCCCCTCGTACTTAAAGCTGTGGTAAGCGTAGTCTGATTTCTGATCTTCTGGTGTAGGTCACATCATCTCTTGCCCTTAACTCTCCCAACATACACAGTTTAAATCTTTTTCAGTAAACTTATCTCAGTTGAGAGTCAAGTTAAGATGGACGTAGCGGAATGCCGGAACAGCAGAGGAATACTGCTGAATTCACTCTTTATCCTTCTTGCTACGACTGTCTTTTTCCATTTATTATCTATTGTTGCAGGTGATTGCTGAATTGCACAGTTTTTCCTGCACTCATTTCTGGATTGCAGACTGCCTCCAAGAAAAAGAGGAAAAATCTTCTACCTCACTTTTTCTTCAAACTCAAGCTCCGGAGAGAGCTTATTCCAGGCTTGTTCTCCATGCCTCTCATACTGCTGTGACCTTTTAGCACTAGCTTCATCCTACTGAGCTTTCTAAACCTTTCCCCGTTTCTCCCTTCAAATACTGACCATCTCTTGCTCACCAGTTTTGCCCCTAACTTTTACAGCTTGAGAAATACTTCTTGCAGAAAACATCATCTTTGTACTCTTCTACTGTAATGTGCAATTTTGATGCATTAGAGGTTTTGTTTTAAAATCAACTTGTCCTGCGTATTGGAGGCACTTATTTTATTGTAACAACAAAAGCCCATTGGAGCAATGTCATTTAAGGAGGTCTGGTTTTATTTCATTAGCAATTAATTTAAACTAAAATTCTAACAAAGAAGGGGGAGGGGGATTCCTAAATCATTCAGAGGCCTATAAGAAAATTGTTATAGTCCTTGGCATATATTCCTTGAGTTCTGCAAAAGTCAAAATATTGAAAAATATGCTAAAAATAAGTGTCCATATCTTATAGGTTGCTTTGTGCTGTTTCCCTACTTCCTCCACCATTTTTTCTTTTATAAGAGGAGCTGAGTTCTTGCAGAACTAGAGTACGCTAGACTGATGTGTAGGAACTTTCCCCTGTAGCTCTCAGAGCAAAACATGAGAACCCCTTCTCCATTAAAGAGAGGCAGGACACCTCCCTTTTTTTTTTTTTTCCCCCCCCCGGAAGGCAGCTGCAGTTGCTGTTGCACACAAAGCAAATCTCCAGTTGTAAATTAGAACCATGCAATGTCAGTGAAGAGACAGGAGCTGTAGCTAGAGCTATCTCTGCGTGGGGATGCTTGGACCAAATTCGCTGTGCCCTCAAGACCTGGCACTGGCTGTATTGCTCCAAACTTTGGCTTTGTTGCGAGATTCTGTGGGCACAGGTGACTCACAGAAGAATTGGTACACATACTCAGGTCAGAATCAGGTCATGAGGAAAACCACCAACCACTTATGGCAGTTTCTAAGGGACACTTACTCAGGATATCTGTGTACAGTGATATCCCCGGGACTTTTCTATTACATTCAAAGGGATCGGGATCAGGATCTCAAGGTAGAGCTCAGGTTTAAGGTATACCAGTAATTGTTTTGCCTTCTTTTTGTCCAACAGTCTTTTAGATCTAATCTGTCTCTTATAATACAAGAAATTTCCAGGAAGGTGGGAAAGGGGTGGGGGGTGCAGGAAAAGATACCATACTCACTGTGTACGGTTTCTTTAACAGAGATTTCCATGGATGAGTGCTCCCATTCAAGTTGGATTAGTTGGATTCTGGTGAGTGATTTCTTTGGATCATGTCTGCTCTTTTAAGATGTACCTGTAGGTTTTCTTGAAGGAGGAAGTGGCAATATTTGCACTTAAAGGAAAAGCCTATGTAGGTTGAGGCAATAAAAACAAGAAGCTGCAGAAATGATTTGTTCCTCCATTGGGTTGAGAAGTTAATGAGACCAGAGCAGTTACTTGACTTCCATCTCTGTAACTGATAATGATATAAAAAAATTAAATGATGTAAATGATATAAAAAAGCTAGTAATGAAGAAACTGCTAGGAAAAGAGTAGGGAGCAAGGAGAAAGGGAGTGGCAAAGAAAAGCCATGGAGCAGCTTGATTTAAAAGGTGCTTGGGCTGCTACCTCCATAAATAATAACTGGAATCTAATGCTATAGTTCTGATCTCACTGAGGACTCGAGTCTCTTGTCTAGTATTTTAAGTTGTCTTGTACACCTATACAAAGTGCTGTGAAAGGATATTGCATGAGAATTTTATACACGTTTGTAAGCATACTGCTGATGCATTTACTACTGCATGGTAGGTAAATGAATTCATAAGGTATAACGCAGTGAGAAATAAAGGTTGCCCAGCACTTCCTCACTGTCCACAAAAAGAACAGTGAACAAAGCAAATAAGCTTTCTGCCTAGAGGATCATGCTTAAGGGTTTTGAATTTTCTTTTAGTATCTTCAATATTGTAAACCCATTTTTATCTTCTCTAGTCTCGTGTTTGCAACACCCTTGTGCTGTGCACTGTTTCCTCAAAAAAGGTACGTATTCCTGTTTTGTTACTCTTGCTTTAATATTACACTTCCAGATGCATGCAAGATACTGCAGAGACACACAAATAAATGGTCATTGCCTCCTAGAGCATACAGTCTCAAATCCCATATAACAAATGTGATAAACATGAGAAATGCAGAAAAAGCAAAAACTATTCACTATTCATCAATAACATGTAATAGCTGAATTGGGCTTATTTGTTTATAAACTCCTAGCAGCTTCAGAGATGCATCTATAGAGGGATAGTGAGCAAGAGGAGAGGTTTGGGGGAATAGTTTAGACATGCTATTTCAAACTGAGAAGATTGGTACTTCCAGTGTCAGAGGAGGAATTTGAACTTGATAAGTTAGGAATCACTAGAATGATTCATAAGAGAGGCTAACGTAGCCCAAGCAACATGTTAATGTCCAATAAGATCATGACATTGAATGCTGTCAGATCCCGTTTTATTTTCAATGGAGAACTCCCACTGGTTATAGAGAACAGCACTTGACTATATAGGTGTTTATTTGTAATGTGATTAACATTTACCAAGTAAGAATTTTTCCTCAATGCAATTTTCTATCTCGGAACTGAAAACTGTCTTAGGAGTGGTATTCTTTATACCTAAAACCATAATGAAACTTGGATGGGTTACCTACAATTAAAGTTAGCTCAAATTGCCATATATAACGTAAATGGGAGTTTTAAACTCAACGAACTTGTCCTTCTTGTGTTAATAGTGGTTGCCAAAATTAGTACATCTAGTTGACAAGGTGCCAAACGCAACTTAAAAGATGCAAGTTGGTGCTTGAATTAGTTAAAATAGTGGGCAACTGGAATAGCTTTTAACTTCTGGAAAACAATATCCGATTCTCATCTGCTTTAACTTATTTATATTGTTTGAGTACAACAAAGCAATTTTACATTGTCTGTTTCCCAGTCTGGCACAGATTAGAAAACTATAGTATAAAACAAAAGTGTGTCACTAAGCTACCTGGAGCTGACTTGGCAAACTTGCACAGCAACTGTGATACAGTTCCTGATTTTAACAAGGGCTCTCAAGTTTATGTTCATAGAGACTAAAATCGCTTACTAACTTTAGAAGAAAATTGGATCTCTTAAACAGCTGCAAATTTCCTAAATATAGTATACATGATCTGGCAGCAAAATTCACTTTTCTGTGAGATGACTTTTATAAAATAAATGTTTTATTCAACTGAATAAAATCGTGCATTAAGTTAAATAAGCAAATACATTTCTAAGAAAACAAAATTTTAGAAAGGGAAGCTTCTTTTGCCAGGAATGACCTTAAGTTTAACAAAGTAGATTCCTAACCCCATAACAGTAGCAATTCAGTCATTTCTTGAATCTACAGAATATCTTGCTGCCATTTAAGAGAAGTTATTCATCCCTGGTCTGTGAGCATGACTTGTTCATAAGAAAAATCAAAACAAAACACACACCTTTTCACAATCCGGGGAGTTTAACCAGATGCATCATCTTTTAGTTTAGACTCAAGTGCTTGTTATATATAACCATTTTACGTTTCTTTTGCTTAGTTCCATGTCTGTAACACGCTTGGAGCCAGAATTGCAAGCCAAGATCCAAGAGAGCAGCCCTGAATTAGAACGTGTATACTTTAATAAAGGCTTATAATTCAAGGAAGGCAGAATACCTTTCATGGAGGATCTTGTGAACTGATTTATGGGTTGCGTGCCAACATAGTCGAAGAGAACTCACTTAACCTGTCCTTTTGTTAAGCAACTTTGATCATCCACATTATTTTATATTTAAAGAACTTTTCTCATTATAGTGTTTAAGTTATAAAAGCTTATTTGTCCACTTTGGTTTTGATTAAAAGTTTAACCATACATATTCAAAAGTGTTTACATAAGCTCTTAAGCAGCTACAATAATAAAAAACAAGCGCACAAAATAAAACAGATGCTATTATATTGGATTTGCCACCTGTTCCAGTAATAGTGGGGCAGGAATCTCTTTTTGGTAAGCATCATAGGGCAACCGAACGAAGTTGCCACCCTCTGCCAACAACAGGACGAGCAGCTGAACGTGACAGAAGGTTGTGCAGGAAGGGCTTTTTACCAGGAGGTTGATTTGGTTGTAGGTTTTCCCTGTTGGCACAGAACCGTTTCTTTAAGGTGGACGTTGGAGGAGCCTGGAGCTTCTGCACAGTGTGGTACTGTTCAGCAATACAAGCTGCTTTCTTCCTCAGGTCAAGTTTTACCAGCATCATGTTATTCTGCAGTTCTGCCAGTGTTTGGTCCTGAGAAGGGGAAGGCAGTATATTCAGAATTGTGACAGTTTCCCTAACTGCCTAGCTACTATGAACTGAAGAGGATAAACTGCCTTTGCCAAAGTTCACTAACTGGTGTGCTAAGTAAGACCACATAAGTTTCTACTGGGCCCAGTGTAGCTGTTTAATGACAAAACAGGAACAGTAAAGATAGGAAAAAGCTGAATCCATCCTGCTGCAAACATACTGTGATAGCAACTGAGGGAGTGCAGTGGTTAAGGAAATGAAAACTGAAAATTCTCCTACTCTCAATGCAGGCTGTCAGGTGACTGAACAGGAACAATCTGGGCCTCTTTTAGAGTTATAAATATGCAGTCTGACTCAGCCATTGAAAGAATTAGCAATATAGCCCCCTAATGCAATAGGCAGTACCTGTCTAGAGAATAAGTCATTCATATTTGCAGCTGCAAGAACCTAGGTTTATCTGCTGATTACAGCCAAGTGCCTAGCCTAAATCCCCTGCAACTCACAACAAAACAGACATGCTACCTGTCTAGCCAGAATGTCATCACAAGTACAGAGGGCTTCTCGAAGTTTCCCGGCACTCGTACTGTGGCAGCATGCCCTCTCTGCAGACTGGAGTGATTCACCAAGTTTTTGCAATTCCAACCGTAGCAATCTGACATTCTGCAGGAGGGAGACATTTAATATAACATCAAGCTTTGTCATTGCTCTGGGACCAAAGACACTCCAAGGTAACCCAAACATGCAGCGCTGAGAGGAGATCCCATCTGAGTGAGATCCAGTGGTATCACTGATAGCAGCACCTTCCACACATCTGATAAAGGTCTATTTTCAACAGATCTCTTGCCTTTAACCATTCCTTTAAGAACCTGGAGATCGCAGCTCCAAACATTTTAAACTGGCAGCTGCTTCCCCCTGCAAGAGTTCCTTTCTCTGTAACAGTGGTGGATTTACCTTTTGTCCATCCTCCAGCTTCCTGTCTACATCCATAGTAATGGGTTTGGCAGAAGGAGGTGGCTCCAGTAATTTCTGGTACTTGCGCAACTCTGGGAACAGACAAAAGCAGCAAGCTACAGTACATTCATAAGGCTCAAATTTTTCTCAAGTTAAATAGTCCCTCTGAAACAAGATGCCACAGGCAAACTGAGAAAAGCTTTGGGTTTGTGCAGTCATGGCTATTTCTCCTCCCTTGAGTTACTGAAGGGATTTTCTAGATTCTGATCAACATCATGTAAACGAGACCAAATCCATCCAGCACGCTATTCTTGTGTTCTCCCACAACTCAAAAGAGTTGTTTCAGGATGTCCAAATCCACTACACAGTACTATACTGATAAAAGCATCTCTCTAACCCTCTGCAAGGAGACCTCAAGACATTCTTCAGAGCCAGTGCAACACCACTGCATTACCTGCTGTTGCTGTATTCAACTCCATTTGACATTGCTCCAGTTTGCCTTTAGTATCTAGCAGCTCCTGTTGCAGAGTGCATGATGCAGCCACTCGCTTTGACCTACGCAGACCTTGCTCGGACTCCTTTTGCTTAGTGTGCAGGTTCTCCAATTTTTGTTTTGCCTCCTGCAGAGCAGCTTGGAGCTCCTCTATCTTCTCATCACGCTCCTAAAAAAACAAGTTTGTTTATAAAGACCCAACAACATTTTAACACAGCTTTTGCTCACTGAAACTTCAGTAATTTTCCGTGTCTGCTTCTTCCAGATTTTCTCAGTCTGGAACTTCAACACACTCGACCCAGCACTTAAGGTCCTCAAGTGAAGACAATGAAACCATTTCTGAAAGCCTAAGCCACTTTTTCCAGCCTCTCTCTCACACAAGGGATTTTAGAGAGTTGGCATCTTCAGAGGCCATTCAAATGCCATAGCATGAAAAATTTAAACTGGCCTGTACCCATAACCACAACTAAAAGCAACAGGAGAAATCCACAGAATTTGTGTTAATCCGAAGGTTGTAAAGCAAGTCACTACAGAGTAAAGGGGTGGAGGGAAATCATTTATGTTGAGCAGACAGAGGAATCGGAATGGTGATACATTAGCTTGCAGGCTAAGGGCTGAAAGCCAGAAATAGCCAAGAACTGAGAACTGTGGATCAAGCTATCAAGGAGTACTGTAGGCACACAAAAGCAAAATGCTTGCTCTCAGTTTACACAACAATCAGCTGCCTGCACTCAAATATCCCGGGTCCCTTCCCAAACCCACTGCCACTTCCTGGTGTCATTCCTTTGCCCTGAACAAACCTGAATCTCCTCCTGGTAATAGTCAGTCAGTGACTCCTTCAGGTTATTCAGTTTATCTTCGTACAGTTCCTCCAGCAGCTCCTTCTGGGCATCTATATGTTGGCTACAGAGAGAGCAAATAGCTACAGGTATCAGATCTGGCAGTTCTTGGGCTCCCCTGTGCTGTAGCTCACCCCGATTCTGAGGGTGTGATCAGACTAAGCTGTACCTGCACCACTGCTCCTTCTGTTGCAGGTGCTCCAGCATCTCATTGCAGATCTCCTCACGGAGGCGCATTTCTAGTTGCAGCTTCTCCTGCCGCTCTTGCACCAGCAGCTCTCGTGCAGCCTCCACTACACGTAACAAGTCCTGCAGTAAGGACACAAATCTCCTTTGCCCACACTGCACAACAGAATTAAGACCTAGAAGAAACTTTGCTGACCCCATACCTCCAGGCTGAGTGGGTCTAGGTTTAAGATGCTTTTAGTCACTTTTAAAGAGA